TCATCGATTATTCTTCCTTTTCACTCACATGATCCAAGAAAACATCACTTATATTCTCGTCCACTGCCATATCTCATTGTCAGAGGGAAGCATATTCCACATATTTGATTTTTGGGTGAAGTGTTCTTCCTATTTACATTTATTGCCATTTCTCATATTTATTGCTTGTCCTCATTCCTTCATTTATTCACAAGAGTATCATTAAACCACTTTCCGGCCTTGAATAGCTTTAAATGCGATTTCTAGGCTGTTACATTCCCCTCAACCTTGGATCTAGAACTTATTATATTTAACTAGAATTTACCTATTGTCATTTTACTTAATTAGTTTAACTAAAAGGTTTAAGACTTTTTGGTCAAATAATTTGGCGCCGTCTGTGGGAATTTTCTAGTTAAAAGTTTTAGTTTTTTCTAGATCTAAAAGAAAAAACACAAAACTCTACACAATCCTGTTTCTCGTTGTTTGCACAGATCTGACATGGAGGCAATGGGGAAGAAAAGAGAAAGGTGATAGCCGATCTCACCGCTAATCTCCTAAACACTATCGACGAAGCTCACGGGGAGGACGAGGAGAACGTGACACCAAGCACCTCACCCAGGCGAAGTGATTCACCCCCTCCTCATGGCAGTGTTACCGCTTCTCATGGAAAGGGAGCCTCTACGTCCACTACGGAAGAAGCACCACCAGCGGTAAAAAAGCTACAAGAAGCATAGCTAACGAATACACTGAACAACATACTAGATAAACTTGCTTAGAGGGCGATCAGAGGGAGTGTGCGAGTCGACATCGCCACAACAACCAATGAGAAGCACACCCAACCTCCCACGACAGGTACTACTCACCTTGTTAATGATGCAGGTAACGACGCCCTCACTGCTATTTTTAGAAAAATGGAAGAGATGGAGAACGAGAACAAGGCACTACGCGACTAAATGAAGGAGCATCAAGAAAGGGTAGATAAGATACCGGGCGCCCCAAAACTCCTACCAAAACAGGATGCTAGACGGTTTGTGGAACAACCATATAGCGACGAGGCCGCGCCATATGCTAACCGGAGGGTCCCTAACGTGGTATTTGTAGTTACCTGCGTACTCCATAGAAACGTTCGAAGAAATGGCTGACAAGTTCGTCACCGCCCATGCCGGGGCCAAGAAAGCGGAGGCGAGGGTGAACGACATATTCGCCATCAAGTAATCTCTTGGCGAGGGACTCAGGGAATTCCTCGCCCGATTCAACTGTGTAAGAATGACCTTTCCGAATGTATCTGAAGGGATGGCGATGGCCGCTTTCAGAATGGGCTGAGTAGGAGTGGGTCGAGGGAGACCAAAAAATTGTTGAGCTGACTCATGAAATACCCTCCAACCACTTAGGATGAGATACACAATGCCTACTGCGCCGGGGTGAGATCCGACGAGGATGATCTCAACGGGCCTATTCAACGCCTGACCTCGGTCCAAATGGAATCTAGGAAAGACCGAAGAAATGACAATAGAAAAGATCTAGCAGGGTCACGACCTAATCAAGAAAGACATCAGCCTTACGTCAGAGGCACCCTCATGCCACCTCCACGTCACGACGAAGGCCTATCCAGACCACGAACGGGAACCCACCGAAACGAAAGAGGTATGCCCCCTTTGTTATCAGCTCACAATTTTTTGTGTTTCCCCCTCAAAAATAGTCTACGCACTGGAGAAGCTCGGCCCGAAGGTAAAATGGCCGCAGAAATCAAAGTCCGACCCGAGCACCAAAAAGTCAAACGCCCTCTGCGAATTCCACCAGGAACAAGGTCATAAGATCGAGGACTGCATCGCCCTCAGACAAGAGGTCGTGAACATGCTTCGCCAAGGGTACCTGAAAGAGTTGATGAGCAATCGAGGAAGAGCCAACTTCGCACGAGGGCGGGAACAACATCAGGGGCCGCCTAAACCACCTTCCCCAGTTCGGACCATTCAAATGATCATCTGGGGAGGCGACGACGCATCTATCAACAGCGTGAAATTCACCACCACTCACAAGCTCAAGTGGTCGATCACCCACGAACAGTATGACAAACTCGAAGAAAGTATCATCTTCGATAAGTCGGATACCCACGGTTTAGTTGTCCCTCACTATGATGCCCTTGTCATTAATTTACGTATTTTTGATACTGATGTAAGACGTATCATGGTCGATGATGGAAGCGGGGCGTGCATCATCTATCCTCGAGTTCTCACCCAAATGAAACTCGAGGACAGGATAGTGCCACGATGCATCACACTAACATGTTTTAACAATGTAGTTGAGCGAACATCTGGAGAAATCACGCTGCCCGTCCTGGCCTGCGACGTCACTTTGGAGACTACGTTCCACATCATGGACCATGATACGGTGTACAACGCCATCATAGGCCGACCATGGATACAGCAATGAAAGTCGTCCCCTCCAATATATATAAAGTCATTAAATTTCCCACCCCCTGGGGAGTATTCAGCATCCGGGGAGAGCAACGCACGGCTCGAGAATGCTACTGCATCGCCCAAGATTGCACATACACCCAACAGTTGAAAGGAAAAGCCGAGGAAGCATAGCAATTAACGAAGACGGGGTCGGATGGCAAGGAAGCGAAAGATGTCATCCGCGATCCTGAAATCATAGAAGCCACGGGGTCATCCGTAAAGGACATCGACCTCGTCCAATAAGACGATGACAACCCCAGCAAGAAAGCTTTCATCGGCTATAAACTCCAAGATCCAGGTAAATTTCATTAATTCTTAAAGAATAACGTGGACCTGTTCACTCTTTCCCATGCAGATATGCTAGGTATCCCAAAGGAAATAGCAACTCACAAGTTGAACGTCGACCCATTTCACCCCTAGTAAGACAGATCAGACAAAAGTTCAACTCGGCAATAAACAACGCAGTTCGTGAAGAGGTCAAGAAACTACTAGTGACCGTTCTATCAGAGAATCGAAGTACCCTCAATGGGTCTCCAACGTAGTCATGAAAAAGAAGAACGGTAAGTGGAGAATGTGTGTGGACCTCACAGACCTAAACAAAGCCTGTCCAAAAGATTCGTTTCCGCTACCTCACATCGACCAACTCATCGACGCCACAGCCGGGCACGAACTGCTGAGTTTCTTGGATGCCTACTCAAGGTATAACCAAATACTCATGGAGGAAGAAGACTAGGAAAAAACCACCTTCATCACCCACCAGGGGATGTACTGCTACAGAGTGATGCCGTTCGGGTTAAAAAACGCGAGGGCAACGTACCAGAGGCTGGTGACCAAATTGTTCAAAGAACAGCTCGGACAAACCATGGAAGTATATATTGACGACATGTTGGTCAAGTCAAAAAGAAAGGAACACCATATCGACCACTTGAGAGAAGCCTTCGACATACTCAGAAAGTACGACATGAAATTAAACCTCGAGAAATGTGCCTTGGGCATGACGTCTGGGAAGTTCCTCGGATTTTTGGTATAACAACGAGGCATCTAGGTCAATCCCGACCAAATCAAGGCCATAGAAGGAATCCCAAAAAATCTAACCAACAAAAAACAAGTGCAAAAACTGACTGACCGTATTGCCGCCTTGTCAAGATTCATCTCGCGGTCCTCCGATAGGTGCCAAAATTTTTTTGGCGTACCCAAAAAGGACAATGGACTCCAATGGAATACCGAATGCGTCAATGCCTTGAAAGAAATAAAAGCCTACCTGTCTTCGCCATCGTTGCTCGCTAAGGCAAAACCTGTAGAACGCCTTCTTGTCTACTTGGCCGTGTCCGATGTCGCAGTAAGTGCAGTCCTGGTACGAGAAAATAAAGGTATGCAATATCCAATCTATTACATTAGCAAAACTTTGGTCGACGCTGAAACGAGGTATCCCCACCTCGAGAAGTTAGCTCTGGCCCTGGTCGTAGCTTCGCGGAAGCTTAGACCTTATTTCCAGTGCCACCCCATCTCGGTGGTCACGACTTTCCCTCAAAGGAGTATTTTGGACAAACCCGAAAAGTCGGTAGATTGGCCAAGTGGGTCATAGAGCTGAGCGAGCACGATATAACTTATCAGCCGCGAACAGCGATAAAGTCACAAGTCCTTGCCAATATCGTCGCCGACTTCAGTGCGAAGATAATGCATGAAGTCGATAAGGAAACCACCATTACTTCTACCGAAGTTCGGGACCTGTGCGTCCTATATACCGATGGCGCTTCTAACGCATCTGGATCTGGACTGGGACTCGTGCTCGAGGTCCCAATGGGTGAAGTGGTTCGCCAATCCATACGATGCCCTGATATGACTAACAACGAGGCCGAGTATAAGGTCGTGATTGCAGGGTTGAAACTAGCACTCAAATACGGAGCACGGAGAGTCATCATTTGATTCGATTTGCAACTCGTCATCAATCAGGTCACAGGGACTTTCCAAATTAAGGAGCAACGGTTACAAAAATATCAGACGAGATTTGCAAACTATTACCCGAGTTCGACGAATGCCAGCTCGATCAAATACCTCGAGCGCAGAACATCGAAGCCCTCGTCAGATGCCTCATACGTGCGGGCTACTATTGGCCCACGATGAAGAAGGAAGCCGCCGATTTCGTCAAAAGGTGTGAGCAATGCCAAATATACGCCCCCATGATTTACCAAGCGGGCGAACACCTTCATTCAGTCACTTTGCCATGGCCTTTCATCAAGTGGGGAATGGACATCGTCGGACCCCTCCCGGCGGGCCAAGATAATGTACGATTCCTTTTAGTTTTAACTAACTATTTCTCCAAATGGGTAGAAGCAGGTGCATTCGCCCAAATACGCGAACAAGAAGTTATCATGTTCATATGGAGGAACATCATATGCCACTTTGGCATCCCCAAAGAAATCAGCTACAACAATGGTCCCTAGTTCACTGGAAAAAAGACCGCCGAGTTCTTCGAAAAATGGCACATCAGGAGAATACTCTCCACGCCATATCATTCCGCAGGCAACGTTCAGGCAGAATCCTCCAACAAAACAATAATGAAACATGAAAAAGAAACTCGAAAAGGCCAAGGAACTGTGGCCGGAAATGCTACCAGAAGTGTTATGGGCATACCGCACCTTGCCAAAGACGAGCACAGGGGAAATGCCATACTCACTAGTATATGGAACTGATGTAATGATACCAGTCGAGGTCGGGGAGCCCAGCTTGAGATACTCAAATGAAAGCGGGCAAAGCAACAACGAGAACAGAAGGCAAGACCTCGATGAAGCCGAAGAGCGAAGAGACATGGTCTACATAAGAATGTTAGCTAAAAAACAACAGGCAAAGCGGTACTACAACAAAATAGCCAAAATCAAGCCATTCAAAATTGGGGATTACGTACTCAAAGCCAAAACACAAGCAAGCAAAGATCCACGAGAAAGCAAACTGGGAACCAACTGGGATTGCCCATATAAAATCACGGCGGCAGCAAGCAAAGGGTCATTCCAACTGGAAACAATGGAAGGAAAACTACTACCAAACAATTGGAACGTCGCCCACCTCAAATACTTTAACTTCTAATGATAGACGTCTCCCGAGTCGTACTCTTTTTTCTCTTACCCGAGTTTTGTCCCGGTTGGGTTTTCTCGGGGAGGTTTTTAACGAGGCGACAAAGAGAGCGTCTCAGATTTTTTCGTATAAGTTCATTGCTCGACCTATCAACTACTTTTCCAGGTCGACCAATGAAGGGACTAGATGGACTGGGACTTCAGGAAAACATGCAAACTTCTCCAACATATGTAAACTTCTCCAACACATGTAAACCTCTCCAATGAGTATGTGTAAACAAAGAGAAATATGCACGCATGAATTTATCTCCACCAAGTTAATATATTACGCCAAGTCAGACATTCGACCTCGTTCGAATTGACTCACATTCGAGTCTGAATCATTTAAAGAGTCACATTCGACCTCGTTCGAATTGACTTACATTCGACCCAGCTCGAATTTATTTACATTCGACCTCGTTCGAACCATTTAAAGAGTCAGACATTCGACCTTGTTCGAATTGACTCACATTCGACCTCGCTCGAATTTATTTACATTCGACCTCGTTCGAATCACTTAAAGAGTCATACATTCGACCTCGCTTGAATTTATCTACATTTGACCTCACTCGAATTTATCTACATTCGACCTCGTTTGAATAACTTAAAGGATCAAACATTCGACCTCGTTCGAATCGACTCACATGCGACTTCGCTCGAAACGACTCATATTCGACTCCGTTCAAATTCATTAACACTCAACTTCGTTCAAAATTTGTTAACATTCGACCTTGTTCAAATCAATTGACATCTAACCTCGGTCACGTCAACTAAGTTAAGAACTCTTACAAAGGAAAAAGCATACGAAGAAAAACGAAAAGAGCCAAAACATACAGCAAAAAGACAAGTCATTCCATTCCAAATAGAGTATCTTACAAAGTGCCAAAAAGACCGCCTTCCAAAAAAGAAAAAGAGCAGAAAAAACTAAATACAAGAAAACTACACTGCATCACCTCCGTCGCCACCTTCGCCGCCCGGTCCAGCAGCACCATCTCTACCCTCGCCATCCAAGTACTCGTCTTCATACCAAGCATCTGGCTCAATCTCGTCCACATATTCCTTGTCATCATCCATTCCAGGTGTGCCAGGGTCATAGCCGCAAGCGGCACGAGCTGCACGTGCCTTAACACGAACATCCTCAAACTCCGCCTCAGAGGCTTTCCCGACCGCCGTCAAACCCCTGAATATGTCAAGATGAGCCACAACATGGACCCACTTCTCGTACAAGTATTTTTGGACGATGGGGTAAGTGGAAGCATGAGAGGTAGACGACCGGGCCTGCTGCAGCGCTATCTCGGCCTTAAGGATAGTTATTTGCTCGTTCAAATCCTGAACGTCTCCTTCTAGTCCGCCAATTTGCTCTTCGAGCCTCGCCACTTTGAGAGCAAAGGTCTATGCCTCGAAGCACGCTCTGACCTGAAGACACGAAGGGTGCCCGCCAATGCTGCCGCCTCCGCCACAGCAGTCGACCTAGCTCTCTCAACTCGCTCCAACTCCGCAGCTTTGGCAGCCAGCTCGTCCCTTAAGCCGATAACCATAGTTGCACTTTGCTCAAGCTAGGCCCATAAAGACGTCACCTGAGCTTGGAGATCGATACACTCAACCATGACCCCCTTGCTCACCTCAAGCTCATCGTTCTTGGCCCTTAACGTCTCCTCAAGCTCACTACACCGTCCAATAATCCTCATGAGCTCGGCGTCCTTCTCCTTCAACTCGTCATCCTTCGCCTTCAATTCCTCATTCTTCTGCCTCAGATCGTCACGGAGGGTTGGAAACAGGGTGTCCTCACCAAGCATATGGATCGGGGCTTTATGTTTGGTACAGTACTCTCTGTACTTTGCCTCCATCTTCTTATAGACCCTCGTCCTTTTCTCCTCCCGACGGGCTCTCTCAATCTCCAAGACGAGGGTCTAATAAACAGACAAAGAAAGGTCAGCAAAGACAAATAACGTAAAAGGAAGAAATCAAGACGATAAGAAAGGACTTACTCGCAGGGCCATCCCGAAAATGCCTAATGACATGTCCTCATCCTTCAGCGTCTGCAAGGTCCTATTCTCGGGCTCCGCACATAAAGGGGCTAAAGCTGGAACCACGCTCTCCGAGTTGACTAACAAGTTAAAATCTACAGGGATAACAATCTTTTGAGTGGACCCCTCGGTCCTCACCTTCACTCGAGTAAATCTCTCCTCAAAAGTCCGTACCTCCTCGGGGTCGATATCAGAACCAGACCTATCATCTTCCACGGCAATCGCTTTTCCTCTACCACCAGCAGACGATGAGCCAGCTTCGGCCGCCCCCGGTGTTTCCCTTACTGAAGTTGCCTCCGTCGTCTCCAATGGCCTATCTTCCGCGACAATCTCAGGCGGGGGAGCAGTCCCCATGGCCGAAGTGCACGTCGCCTCCATATCCACGGTCATGGCCCGTTCGAATATAACCACGGCCTCCATTCGTCGCCTCTTCAAAGGCGCCACTTCCTCCTCGCCAGTGGAAGACTCATCCACTATATGAACCACCGAGCAAGCTGGGATCTCCACTGATGGGGTGGCCGTCTGACGAGTAGGCTCGCTCAATACCAGAGTCTGAGAAGAAGTATTTCGCACAGACTCAGCCAACACGAACTGGATCCCAGCCGAGGCAACCACCTGACGGAATGCGGGGACGGGAGCCTTCACCTTCTTAGAAGTTCTCCGACCTAGCATCAAAGAAAAATCGTAAAACGACAAAAAGACATGCACCACGGCCAAAAGCGAAATAGTTATAAGGGCGAAGCTTGACTTACCGGTCGAGGGCTTGAGCCGAATCTCTTGTTAAAGGACAACCAGTGACGGATACCTATGGTGTGAGGCAAAATGCGGTCCACCCAATCACTGATAGCGGCAACCAAAGATGGGGGATGCCTCTCAGTTGTAAAAGAAAAAAATGACGTCACTAGTCACGTATCACGAAGAGAAAAGAAGAACGTACTCCAAATAACTATACTTACGAGCAAAATTCCAATGCTCAGGAAAGTCGTTGGGGTATGCCACCACATGCTCGGTCTTAACAAAGAAGTAATGGGCCCAGAACCGGCAGTTCGTTCTATCGCCATTCCCGCTACCAAACCTTTGGGTCCACAGTGGCGGAGGTTAATCATCATGCCTCTATGGAAGCTCGGCTAAAAAAGATACAGAAGATGGCAGATAGAAACTTCGCAGCCGGCGAGCTCCGCAGACTTCGTCAACATAAGGAAAATCTTGTAAAGGTAGGGAGAGAGTTGTGCCGGGTAGACACGGTAGTAACGGCAGAACTCCTCCGCCAACAGAGGAAGAGGAAGAGAATAGCCTATATGGAACGGGTAGGCGTAAAACGCGCAATACCCAGGCCTGTGAACTTGAATCACGTAATCTCCGGCCGGAACCAGGTCAACATGGGCTAGAATGCCGTACTTGGCCCTAAGGGCGGCAAGGTGCTTCGCTTCCATCTCCGACTTTGCCGACTGCGGTTCAAGCGTGGGTTCCTTAGAGAAGTCAGACCTGGAAGCAGGGTTACGAGGAATAGTCTCCTCCACATTGGGAAAACTTTAGTCCTCTACCACCGCCGATTCTCCGCCACCGAAAGGCGTGGCCACCGATAATGGAGTAGGGTCAAAAACTATCTCTACGTTGGGGGTTGCGGTAGCCATTTCCTATGATGTGTATATGAAGAGACAGAAAAAGAAGAAGGGGTGGCAATGGCAGCGGTTACAGGAAGCAAGAACACAAGAAGGAGAAAAGGAATCAAACGCAGGGCTGAAGAAACTAGAAAGAGTTCAAAAGTTTCTTTGAGAAATCTCCCCCTCTTTATTTATAAACCTCAGGGGCGCTCGAATCGATGCAAGTAACCGCCAGTGGCCCTAGAATTGAAATGACAGGGACTCAAGGAACGAGGCAAGCATCGGGAAGATGCGCAATGATGATGCATGCGTTGTGATATCACCCAGTACCAACCCCATGGCCCACGAATCTCAAAACGACACGTCATGGCTTTAGCAACAAGCGCCTCCACTCGATCACCATGCCCAAAAACTTCTTCATAAGTCCGCGACTGAAAAGGTCCGCTCATCGGGGCCGACCAAAAGGCAACCCCGACAAGTGGAGGGACTAACTGTATGGGTCAAAATCTTGCTGAGGAAGTTGGGTGTGGAAAGAACGTAAAGTGAAAGACTGTGTTCTGATTCGGGCTGATAAGACGAGGACGACCAAAGGCCAACAACGAGCAATCGCCAAACGAGCCGTAAAGGTCGAGGTCGAATATCGAAGAATAGGAATAGCGGTTAGTGTAGTCTTGGAACTAGTGACATGGATATTCTCCTGGATATTCCCTTTGTTGTACTTTTTAGGATTTTTAAAAAATATTCCCTATAAATAGAAAGAGAGAGAGAAGAAAAAGGGCACGAGAGATTGAATCTGAGAACACTATTGTAAGAAGTTGACCATTGAGAGAATATACAAAGTTTACTTTTCCATAGTGATTGATTTTATAGATTATTATTCCTTTTCACACACATAATCCAAGAAAACATCACTTATATTCTCGTCCACTGCCATATCTCATTGTCAGAGGGAAGCATCTTTCACATCATATGATATATGGGTGAAGTGTTCTTCCTATTTACATTTATTGTCATTTCTCATATTTATTGCTTGTCCTCGTTCCTTCATTTATTCACAAGGTATCGTTAAGCCACTTTCCGGCCTTGAATAGCTTTAAATGCGATTTCTAGGTTGTTACATTTTTCCTCAATCTTGGATCTAGAACTTATTGTATTTTAACTAGTAATTTACCTATTTTCATTTTACTTAATTAGTTTAACTAAAAAGTTTAAGACTTCTTGGTCAAACAGTAATATTTGGCTAATATATTAGTAATAATTATGAATTGGCCCAATTTTTGTAATGAGCTACTTATAACTGGACATAGCTGGTAGTTTCCCTTTATTGAATTCAGATCTTCTTGAACCAACCCATCTCAACCTAATTTAAGTTTGGCTGATTTTGATTCATGAGTAACTTAGCCAAAAATATCTTAGAAATAATTTTTTTTATTTGATATGTTATTATATGACCATAACAAAGAAAAAAAGGCTTATTTATATAAACATACAATTCATAAGAAATAACGCATATTAATTAAAGTTTGGTAAGAATTGGGTTGGTTGGGCTATACACAAATTTTAACGTAAAAATAGCACGGTCTA